CTTTCCTAATTACAGTTCTAAGGGTTCTTTTTGACAGACCCAGATTGTATTCAACAGTGTCTTTGTTAGACGCGAGTTTGGCGAGGGCATCAACTCTGTCATGTTCTTTGAGGCCTATGTGAGAGGGGATCCACGACAGTTTGATCTTGACACCCCGGTCAACAAGGTGCGCATATTTGTGTCTGGCTTCAGAGACAAGTGCGTGACAACTTGAGTTGAGGGTGTTAAGGGCAAGTAGTGAGGATAGAGAGTCAGTGATGATGAGACTGTCAATGAGCCCCAGACTGCCAGCGTGGTCTCTTTAATAACCCCAGGTCTGAAAACTGTCCATAACCATGTACTTCTTCCAATATTTTCGGAGGAGGAACTCGCGGGACTAATGAAGGAACCTGAGGAACCTGTGTATAAAAATCCTACTGGATTAAGGGCTGTGAGGCGCATTATCAAGAACTCCAGGGGGTGATGAATTTGAAACGGTTAACTTATTGGTCAGGTTGATCTATGAAGCCAACGCACGACTCTCTATACTAAGTTCAAGGTGGAACGAGTAACACGAACGCTTAGGTTCATTTCATGGAACATCCGGAGTGTTAACCGCAGAATTAATGACCTACAATGGTTTGTTGAAGTTTTTAACATTGATGTAATTGGGTTACAAGAACCTTACACGTCCAGCACCCAGAAGAATGTTGCACCCAAGATAGCTGGGTTTACAGCATACAATAGTGGGGCAGGAAGTGGCCTGCTCACTTATGTAAAGAATGATCTGGTCTGTAAATGGATCAAAACTCACAATGAAGAAAGTATTCACTATCAACAATTTACAGTAAAGACAGCAAACAGTCAATTTTCCATGTATAACATCTATGTTCGGTGTAATGAGCTGCGAGCGGGCGTGTTACCAAAGCCATCAAGTAACAATGCTATGCTGTGTATGGGTGACTTTAACTCTCGTCACACTGTCCTCGGTGATGTCCAGTGTAACTCTAATGGGAGGGTGTTCATGAATTACATCAATAATCATAATATCACTGTGTACGACACAGACAGAGTGACACATCTGATGGGGGACAGACTTGATTACTGTATGTGATTGGGTATAACCTAGTAGACAGTAATGTCAAGGCTAAGGTCATCTCAGACCACCTAGTCAGTGATCATTATGCAATACTTACTGAATACACTGTTACTGATGTCAAGTGTGAACCCCATCCTAAGCTCAGAATTAACATCCCAGATAATCTTAAACTGCACTTCAAGGCCTACATCCATAGATGGTATGCTGGATATACACCTGGGTCAGTGGATGAATTTTGCTGTGATCTTGTAAATGTCATTACCACATATTATACCACCTGGGTTAAGTCAAGGAGGAAGGGGGGCAGCACTAAACCACCTCTGTGGACACATGACCCCATCCTCACCAAAGAAGGAGAGAAGGTAGAACAGCTTGCCAACACTTATGAGCAAAATAAAACTAGTGATAACCTCTTGCATTCCTCAAAGCTAACAGAGCATTTCGTGAACCCAAAGGTCAGGTGAGAAACACCTATTGGGAACAATTCTTACAGGGGATTAATAGAACAACCACTCTAGCAGAAATGTGGAAGAAAATTAGAGCCATTACCAAGTCACTTCATCACAGCCCTGCAGAATATGCTGACATGCTATTAGGCCAATGGTCTAGTGTGTCACAAATCACTTCCCTGCCTCCTGACATACAGCAATATCTTAACACCACACACATTAATAGGGGTTTCAATATTGAAATAGCCTGTTCCTCACCAGACCTTACCGACCACTTTCCTATAACGCACCACGAACTAACAACAGCACTAATAAAAGGTGAATCATCCTCCGCTGGTGAGGATGGCATAACCTATAACACCCTGAGATTGTTAAATGAGGTCCCTAACCATCCACTGCTTGACCTGTATCAAATGTGCCTCACACAGGGTATTCTGCCTAAGACATGGACTCATGGAAACATAGTACCAATCCCTAAAGCTACAGTAACTCCAAACTTCAGGCCAATTTCACTCACATCCTGTATGTGTAAAGTCCTTGAAAGAGTTGTTCTAAACCGTCTCATGTTTCAAGTCAAAGACAAACTGGCTCCTAATCTGTATGGGTTCATGCCCCAGCATAGCACACAGATATGCTTTGCAGAATATCTCGTTCACTCAAAAGATAAGACACAAACAGCCTTCCTAGACCTTAAATCAGCCTTTGATGTAGCTAATAGAGACATTATACTTGAGCAACTAGCTAATTTTGGCATCCAAGGTAACCTCCTGACATGGATAAAGGGTTATCTGTCCAACAGGTATGTCAGTGTTCTGTTTAGGGGAGTTAAAAGTGCCAGAATGAGATCATTTGAGCTTGGCACGCCTCAGGGAGGAGTGTTAAGTCCTATGTTCTTTAATATACTGATGCACTAGCTTATTGCTGACATTCCAGTTCAGCCAAATGAGGCTGTAATATGCTATGCTGATGATATCTGCGTCATGACACAGACCAAGCTCAGGCTCCAAGTCTTGCTGGATGTATTTGCTCGGAGGACTGTAGTGAGCAGTACTCTTCCCGGGGCGAAACCCAAAGAGGTCGGGGTGCAGGTAGGCTTCAGTTTTCCAGTGGAGGCTGTCATTCGTTCCATCATCTTTGAGAAGCAGATGCGGAAGATTGGACGATATTCGTCATGTCTGCCTGGTTTAGGGACTGGGATGGTGGTGGTAGTCTTTCATGCATAGGGCAGCTGACCAATATCGCAAGAGTGGTTAAATAGACAGAGGAGGGAATCACTAGGGGTGGCAACAAGGGCATTTAACATATCATATGTGACAAGGTCATTACCAGGAGCGGTGAACCGGCTGCGTTTAATAGCATTTAGTTGATCACACCGTGTGAAATGTACGTCGGTGTCTGCAGGTAGGTCTTGGCACTCGAAGATCCACTCTCGGTGTTGAGGTTGCAGAGCGACGACAGCGAGGTCATGTAACAGCTGGTGATAGCGCCTCGACGGAGGCAGTCTCATGCCACGTCTGGGAGAGTGCCTCGGCACGGGCAACAGGTGCAAAATCAAACCACTGCTTCTTCAACCTTGAACTGTGACCTCTAGTAGGGCGGGTGTCCGACAGCTCCAGGTATGAGCACTTGACTGAGTAGTGACCTCTGAGATGTTTCTAAGCTTCAATTAGGTCACCCCTTGCCCGTCTATAGTATAAGCTAGGCAGTTGCAAGCACTCTAATCTTTCAGGGTAGCTGAGGTGCCGCAGTGCAGGCAGTCTCTAGCATATCTCGGGGACCAGACAGGTTGACAGTACTCCAGACAGGGAAGCACCTCGCTCTTGAAGATCGTCTAGATAAGAACATAAGAATGGAGGAAACTGCAGCGGGCCTATTGGCTCATAGTAGGCAGTCCAGTTTACACCCAACCCCTATCGCTCATATATCCATCCAACCTATGTTTGAAGCTATCCAGCAATTGGAGTTAATGATAATGTTTGGTAACTTGTTCCACTCATCCACTACTCCATTTCTAAACAAATGTTTACCTATTTCGCGCCTGAATCTAAATTTGTCTAATTTTAAAACCATTGTTACGAGTTCGCTCCTGGTTGGATAGCTTGAGTACCTTTGTTATATCACATTTGTTTAGCCCTGACTTCCATTTATACACCTCGATCATATCGCCCCTCACTCTACGTCTCTCGAAGGAGTGCAAATTAAGATAATTTAACCTGTCTCTGTAACCAAGGTTCGTAATGTCCGGGATTCCTCTTGTCATTCTCCTCTGAATTCTTTCGAGGGATTATTGATTCAACTTCTCGCAATGGCTCGAGAACTTCAGTTCGTTGTCAACATGCGCACCCAGGTCCTCTTCACATTCGGTCTTTATTAATGCAGTTTCTTCGTCCTGTTGACACATGTGATACTCCTCCTTACTGTTGGTGAGACCCAGGGGCAGTCTCTTACACTTCGTGACATTGAATCTTGGTAGCCATTTCTTCGCCCACTCTTAAAGTTGACAGAGATCTTTCTGCAGCTCTTCACAGTCTGTCTGGTTGTTAATTTCCCCGAATAACTTGGCATCGTCCGCAAACATTTGTATGGAGGAGTATATAGCTTGTGGTATGTCATGTATGAATCAAACAAACAACAACGGGCCTAATACAGCGCCCTGTGGTACCCCGCTTGTCACGGGTACACGTGACGATTCCGTGTCATTAATCACCACACACTGCTTGCGGTTATGAAGAGTCTCCGATCCACGCTAGGACACTTCCCCGAATCTCGTACCCTTGCAATTTAATTTTCAGCCTATCATGGGGTACGCTGTCGAAAGCCTTGGCAAAATCTTGGTATATATTGTCAATATTACCTCGCTGTTAAAGAATTTGAGTCCAAAGATCCAGTACCTTGAGCAATTGTGTTAAGCAGGAGCGTCCCGGCATAAAACAGTGTTGGCAGTCCTTTATAAGGTTGTTTCGTAGTAGATGTTCCATCATGGGATCTCTTATAATGCTCTCAAGCACTTTACACACTATGCTGGTCAGGCTCACTGGTCTATAATTATTCGTGGAGTGACGATCACCCTTGTTGAATATAGGACTCATACACCGTTTTCCAGTCACTGGAGACCTTTTGCTCATCCAGGCGTCTGCAGAACAGGATCCACAGGGGCTCAGGAAGCTCGTTGCACAGCTCTCTTAGCACCCTGTGATGCATCCTGTCAGGGACTCTTATGCACGTTTAGCTTTGACGACATATTTAAAATGTAAAGTTCTTACGGAGGAAAAATACAACTGTGTTAGCTTTGTGTCCTAGTGATTATGAGATACATAAATATAGTATTAACTTGCTCTATTTGTGAAACATATCGTAGTTAATAGTAAGGAAAATAATTACTGCTAAATATTCAACAAAAGGTTTGGCGACCCAATCAAGGTTTAACAAAGGGTTCGGACAAACCAGTTCATGTACTCAGCACAAGGACTTACGTTCATCATGCCCACGTTTCCAGGTCTTGATCAAATGAACGGCAGCCACCATGATCATCAGTGTGGCGAGCACAGTAACCAGCGCCACCACCCACTCTGGCAGCACCATCTCTTCTATACGTTCCTGCAACACAATGGCAGATAGGTTCCTGCAACACAATGGCAGATAGGTTCCTGCAACACAATGCCAGATAGGTTTCTGCAACATAATGACAGATAGGTTCCTGCAACACAATGACAGAGAGGTTCCTGCAACACAATGCCAGATAGGTTCCTGCAACATAATGACAGATAGGTTCCTGCAACACAATGACAGATAGGTTCCTGCAACACAATGACAGAGAGGTTCCTGCAACACAATGACAGAGAGGTTCCTGCAACACAATGCCAGATAGGTTCCTGCAACACTATAACGGAGAGGTTCCTGCAACACAATGACACATAGTTCCTGCAACACAATGACAGATAGGTTCCTGCAACACAATGACAGAGAGGTTCCTGCAACACAATGACACATAGGTTCCTGCAACACAATGACAGAGAGGTTCCTGCAACACAATGACAGATAGGTTTGTAGTGGACGTCTCCCCTACAAACTAACTGCGTAGCAGCCCACCACCTGCTATCACATTCCAATGTGCCGCCTTCCCTAGCAACCAACCAGATGTTACCGTATCTTAGCAACGAAACTATTCACCGGCGACTTCTCGGGTTTTCCCACCATGACTCATAGCGGCTGCTGCGGGGTATATAAGCTCTGTCTCTCCCTTGAGATTCAGTCTGACCAATCTTCTTGAACAAGCAACACCTCCTCCTCTGCCGCTGCCTGGCGACCCTCGCCTCTCCTCCGCCTGCCTGGCGGTCCTCGCTCCCTCCAGCGAGCATGTCCTTCTCTGAGCTTCCTCACCAACCAATTCTCATTCTGCCCATTTTCCTGAACAAGCAACATCTCCTCCAGCAAGCTCCACGCTGTTAACATTTCATTCAACCAGGAGGCCAGCAACAGGCAACACCTTCTCTAACGAAGCTCCTGCACATCTACCTCCTTCAACAAGCTACTCACCGCACGTCTCTACCAAGCAGCCCCTCACCACACAGCATCTCCAGCACCAGACTGTCTATCATATAACTTATATATTATACAAGAAAACCACATTAGAGTTTCCTTCCATCCTGAGTGCTAGACGACATTAATATCTCGATATACCTACAGGTTCCTGCAACACAATGACAGATAGGTTCCTGCAACACAATGACAGATAGGTTCCTGCAACACAATGACAGATAGGTTCCTGCAACACAATGACAGAAAGGTTCCTGCAACACAGTATCGTCACTCACCATTATCGTCGGTCACTGTAGCGTTATTCACCATTCTAACGTCAGTCACTGTAGCGTCACTCACCATTCTAACTTCAGTCACTGTATTCACCATTCTAACGTCAGTCACTGTAGCGTCACTCACCATTCTAACTTCAGTCACTGTAGCGTCACTCACCATTCTAACGTCAGTCACTGTAGCGTCACTCAACGTAGACTTACCTCTTGCTTGGGAGGTGCAGTATATACCAGGCTCTCGGTGTGATGTCCAAAATCGTAATTTTGCAAGCAAGAGCCCAGAGCGAATACCTGTAGGAGTCAAATTATTGTACGTGAGTGTTGGAGACCTAGGAGACCTTCAGGAGAGTCTAGGGTGATTATCTGTGAGTGTGGGAGACCTAGGAGACTTTCAGGAGAGTCTAGGGTGTTTATCTGTGAGTGTGGAAGACCTGGGAGACCTTCAGGAGAGTCTAGGGTGTTTATCTGTGAGTGTGGGAGACCTAGGAGACCTTCAGTAGAGTCTAGGGTGTTTATCTGTGAGTGTGGGAGACCTGGGAGACCTTCAGGGGAGTCTAGGGTGTTTATCTGTGAGTGTGGGAGACCTGGGAGACCTTCAGGAGAGTCTAGGGTGTTTATCTGTGAGTGTGGGAGACCTGGGAGACCTTCAGGGGAGTCTAGGGTGTTTATCTGTGAGTGTGGGAGACCTAGGAGACCATCAGTAGACTCTAGGGTGTTTATCTGTGAGTGTAGGAGACCTGGGAGACCTTCAGTAGACTCTAGGGTGTTTATCTGTGAGTGTGGGAGACCTGGGAGACCTTCAGTAGACTCTAGGGTGTTTATCTGTGAGTGTGGGAGACCTGGGAGACCTTCAGTAGAGTCTAGGGTGTTTATCTGTGAGTGTGGGAGACCTGGGAGACCTTCAGTAGACTCTAGGGTGTTTATCTGTGAGTGTGGGAGACCTGGGAGACCTTCAGTAGACTCTAGGGTGTTTATCTGTGAGTGTGGGAGACCTGGGAGACCTTCAGTAGACTCTAGGGTGTTTATCTGTGAGTGTGGGAGACCTGGGAGACCTTCAGGGGAGTCTAGGGTGTTTATCTGTGAGTGTGGGAGTGTGTTCTGCTTCACACACTGTGACCTGCAGTGACAGGAAAATTCCTCGGGCAATGGTAACATTAGGGAAAGTATCACCTAAATTTTGGTCTTTTATGGACTTAAGCGTTGATATTAGTGAACCCATCTCTATTTTAGCTGTATCATGAAGTCATAAAAATTGTCAAATTTATCAACAGAATCAAAATCAAAATCTTTATATTTTGATGTGAGATCACGATTATAGTTTGTTTTAGTCGGAGAAACATCTATAAATTATAATATCACCTGCTAGTTTTCTATAGGCTTGATCAGTGAGCGAGGCAGTACTCACCAAGGATTCGTATTCACACGCCGTGTCAAGTTGGGACCAATTGGCAGTGAAGGTCACACGACGGTCGGTGAGGTCCCCATACAATGAAAAATTTTTCTTCGACTTACACGACTTGTTTTGGTGGTTGTAGGTCTCCTGTAAATCATGGAAATTTTCTGGTAAGATGTTTATGGCGAGAGAGATATCTGGTAATGGAGACCTAGAGAGGAAACTCGGTTCATACAGAGACTGATCATGAAGGAATGTGCTAACGTATTGCAAGAAAAATTCTTGTGTGAAATATTCATGAGACAATTCATATATATATATATATATATATATATATATATATATATATATATATATATATATATATATATATATATATATATATATATATCTCGGAAACTACTTTACCGATCTGTAGTGATGATGGATGGTGTTATATGTAGTGATGATGGATGGTGTTATATGTAGTGATGATGGATGGTGTTATATGTAGTGATGATGGATGGTGTTATATGTAGTGATGATGGATGGTGTTATATGTAGTGATGATGGATGTGTTATATGTATGTGATGGATGGATGTATGACGATGGATGTGTTATATGTAGTGATGATGGGTGGTGTTATGATGTTATATGTATGTGATGGTGTTATATGTAGTGATGATGGTTATATGTAGTGATGATGGATGGTGTTATATGTAGTGATGATGGATGGTGTTATATATAGTGATGATGGATGGTGTTGTATGTAGTGATGATGGATGGTGTTATATGTAGTGATGATGGATGGTGTTATATGTAGTGATGATGGATGGTGTTATATGTAGTGATGATGGATGGTGTTATATGTAGTGATAATGGGTGGTGTTATATGTAGTGATGATTAGACAATAAAATAATAACATTTTAATGCTAAAAAAACATACTTTGCTGTACCGTTGTCGTGAAAAACATGGTGGAACTTACATACACCGTTAATAAACTATTGATGGAAGAAGAAGTTTTGGGGACTGAACAGAGATACAATGTGGAGCCTCCCGGAGGGGAGCGTCCTACCGTTGCCCAGAGGATGAGCCACCCGGAGGGCGGCGATTCTGCTAGTACGTATATATATATATATATATATATATATATATATATATATATATATATATATATATATATATATATATATATATATATATATATATATATATATATATATATATATATATATATATATATGTATGCCGTTTTGACTTGAGAAAATATTCAAAAGACTGAAGAAATAAAAGCATACAAAAGTTATTTATAGACTCCAGTGAAAAACAGTAAATTTGATACGAATATAGCTTACTATGGCCAGATGTGGTCTACTATGGCCAGATGTGGTCTACTATGGCCAGATGTGGTCTACTATGGCCAGATGTGGTCTACTATGGCCAGATGTGGTCTACTATGGCCAGATGTGGTCTACTATGGCCAGATGTGGTCTACTATGGCCAGATGTGTGGTCTACTATGCAAGATGTGGTCTACTATGGCCAGATGTGGTCTACTATGGCTAGGTGTGGTCTACTATGGCCAGATGTGGTCTACTATGGCCAGATGTGGTCTACTATGGCCAGATGTGGTCTACTATGGCCAGATGTGGTCTACTATGGCCAGATGTGGCTCTACTATGGCTAGGGTGTGGTCTATGGCCAGATGTGGTCTACTATGGCCAGATGTGGTCTCTATGGCATGATGTGGTCTACTATGGTAGTTGTGGTCTACTATGGCCAGATGTGGTCTACTATGGCCAGATGTGGTCTATGGTCTATGGCCAGATGTGGTCTATGCAGATGTGGTCTACTATGGCTAGTTGTGGTCTATGGCCAGATGTGGTCTATTATGGCCAGATGTGGTCTACTATGGCCAGATGTGGTCTACTATGGCCAGATGATGTGGTCTACTATGGCCAGATGTGTCTATGGCCAGATGTGGTCTACTATTTGTGGTCACTATGGCCAGATGATATCGTGTCTATGGATGTGGTCTACTATGGCCAGAATGTGTGGTCTCTATGGCCAGATGTGGTCTACTATGGCCAGATGTGGTCTACTATGGCTAGTTGTGGTCTCTATGGCCAGATGTGGTCTACTATGGCCAGATTTTGATGTGGTCTACTATGGCCAGATGTGGTCTACTATGGCCAGGTGTGGTCTACTATGGCAGATGTGGTCTACTATGGCCAGATGTGTCACTATGTGAATGTGGTCTACTATGGCCAGATGTGGTCTACTATGGCTAGTTGTGGTCTACTATGGCCAGATGTGGTCTACTATGGCCAGATGTGGTCTACTATGGCTGATTGTGGTCTACTATGGCCAGATGTGGTCTACTATGGCCAGATGTGGTCTACTATGGCTTGTGGTCTCTTGTAGTTGTGGTCTACTATGGCCAGATGTGGTCTATGGCTAGTTGTGGTCTACTATGGCCAGATGTATCTATATGGCCAGATGTGGTCTACTATGGCCAGATCTGGTCTACTATGGAATTGTGGTCTACATCTATGGCCAGATGTGGTCTACTATGGCCAGATGTGTGGTCTATGGCCAGATGTGGTCTACTGGCCAGATGTGGTCTACTATGGCCAGATGTGATTTATGGCTAGATGTGGTCTACTATGGCCAGATTGTGGTCTATGGCCAGATGTGGTCTACTATGGCCAGATGTGGTCTACTATGGCCAGATGTGGTCTACTATGGCCAGATGTGGTCTATGGCCAGATGTGGTCTACTATGGCCAGATGTGGTCTTAACCCATGTAGTCTACTATGGCCAGATGTGGTCTACTATGGCTAGTTGTGGTCTACTATGGCCAGATTGTGGTCTACTATGGCCAGATGTGGTCTACTATGGCTAGTTGGAGTTCTACTATGGCCAGATGTGGTCTACTATGGCCAGATGTGGTCTACTATGGCTAGGTGTGTGGTCTACTATGGCTAGATGTGGTCTACTATGGCCAGATGTGGTCTACTATGGCTAGTTGTGGTCTACTATGGCCAGATGTGGTCTACTATGGCCAGATGTGGTCTACTATGGCAGAATTGGTCTACTATGGCCAGATGTGGTCTACTGCACAGATGTCTACTATGGCCAGATGTGGCTCCACTATGGCCAGATGTGGTCTACTATGGCTAGTTGTGGTCTACTATGGCCAGATGTGGTCTACTATGGCCAGATGTGGTCTACTATGGCTAGATGTGGCTCACTATGGCCAGATGTGGTCTACTATGGCCAGGTGGTCTACTATGGCCAGATGTGGTCTACTATGCAGATGTGGTCTACTATAGTCTACTATGGCCAGATGTGGTCTACTATGGCCAGATGTGGTCTACTATGCAGGGTTGTATCATATGCCCAGATGTGGTCTACTATGGCCGAGATGGTCTACTATGGCTAGTTGTGGTCTACTATGGCCAGATGTGGTCTACTATGGCCAGATGTGGTCTACTATGGCTAGTTGTGGTCTACTATACAGATGTGGTCTACTATGGCCAGATGTGGTCTACTATGCTGATGTGGTCTACTATGGCCAGATGTGGTCTACTATGCACAGATGTTCTACTATGGCCAGATGTGGTCTACTATGGCCAGATGTGGCTCACTATGGCCGAGATGTGGTCTACTATGGCCAGATGTGGTCTACTATGGCCAGATGTGGTCTACTATATTAGATGTGGTCTACTATGGCCAGATGTGGTCTACTATGGCCAGATGTGGTCTATTGCGCAGATGTGGTCTACTATGGCCAGATGTGGTCTACTATGGCCAGATGTGGTCTACTATGGCTAGATGGTCTACTATGGCTAGATGTGGTCTACTATGGCCAGATGTGGTCTACTATGGCCAGATGTGGTCACTATGGCCAGATGTGGTCTACTATGGCTAGATGTGGCTCACTATGGCCAGATGTCTCACTATGGCCAGATGTGGTCTATTGCTAGATGTTCTACTATCCAGATGTGGTCTACTATCCAGATGTGGTCTACTACTAGATGTTTCACTATGGCCAGATGTGGTCTACTATGGCTAGATGTGGTCTACTATGGCCAGATGTGGTCTACTATGGCCAGATGTGGTCTACTATGGCCAGATGTGGTCTACTATGGCCAGATGTGGTCTACTATGGCCAGATGTGGTCTACTATGGCCAGATGTGTCTACTATCAGATTTACTATGCCAGATGTGGTCTACTATGGCCGATGGTCTACTATGGCCAGATGTGGTCTACTATGGCCAGATGTGGTCTACTATGGCCAGATGTATTCACTATGGCCAGATGTGGTCTACTATGGCCAGATGTGGTCTACTATGGCCAGATTCTATAGTGTTTCACTATGACAGATGTGGTCTACTAGGCCAGATGGCTCACTATGGCTAGATGTGGTCTACTACAGATGTGGTCTACTATGGCCAGATGTGGTCTACTATGGCCAGATGTGTTCACTGTGGCCAGATGTGGTCTACTATCCAGATGTGGTCTACTATGGCTAGATGTGGCTCACTATGCACAGATGTGGTCTACTATGGCCAGATGTGGTCTACTATGGCTAGATGTGGTCTACTATGGCTGTTCATGCTAGTTGTGGTCTACTATGGCTAGTTGTGGTCTACTATGGCCAGAGATGTGGTCTACTATGGCCAGATGTGGTCTACTATGGCCAGATGTGGTCTACTATGGCTAGATGTGGTCTACTATGGCTAGGTGTGGTCTACTATGGCCAGATGTGGTCTACTATGGCCAGATGTGGTCTACTATGGCCAGATGTGGTCTACTATGGCTAGATGTGTCTATATACAGATGTGGTCTACTATGGCCAGATGGGTCTACTATGGCCAGATGTGGTCTACTATGCCCAGATGTGGTCTATGGCTAGATGTGGTCTACTATGGCCAGATGTGGTCTACTATGGCCAGATGTGGTCTACTATGGCCAGATGGTCTACTATGGCCAGATGTGGCTCCAATGGCCAGATGTGGTCTACTATGGCCAGATGTGGTCACTATGGCCAGATGTGGTCTACTATGGCTAGTTGTGGCTACTATGCACAGATGTGGTCTACTATGGCCAGATGTGGTCTACTATGGCCAGATGTGGGTTCACTATGGCTAGTGTGTGGC